AGGGGAAATAAAAAGAAGTGGTCGTTATGTACGCAACTTGTTCAACTAAAGTAGATAGTGATATGGTTTATTTGTATCCCCCATGTTTCAGTTTCAGTAGGTTTGTACTGTGAACACAATTAAGAAAATTATGGAGTTAGAACAATTTGAGAGCAAAATCTTGTTACTTTTTGCAAAGACATGGTTTAAATGTCACTGAATATGTTGATAATAATGGAACATTTGTTCCGAGAAATGACAGATACATAGATATATTATTTTCATTTTTCCCTTCCAAAGTAGATTCAAAGCAGAAAACAGAGAATGTGAGCTAACAGAAGTTGCAACAAATTGACTAATTCGTCTGAGACTTTAAAAAAATCGTGGTTAAGTATCAACCAGAGCACTATTATAACATGACATAAAAGTTAAGCCAAATGGATTTCTTACGTAGTTTACCTTACAACTGGCTAATGTTTGTTTATCAACTCTTAATATATATATTAGTTATTGATTTTATATATCATTCTTGATATAGGATATCGTCTACATATGGAAAACGTCCAACAGCCTATTTATTACTAGTTAAAGACTGATCACACTTTATCGTATGTTTCATAGATAGAGGCAACAGTTAAAATATAGCAACTCGTAATTATTCAGTCTAATAGCTGCATTATAAATTAAAGAGTTCAATCAATAAAACTCAGTATTTTCTACTTGTTAGTGTTGAGTTATTTGTATAACATAGTCTACATTGGGTGAATCAATCAACTAGTTATAATTTTAATTCCTACATCTCTTATCAACATGGTAAAATGAATAATTACTAATTTTTGAGAGCATTATCCCAAACGTTTATCATTTCACTGAGTGATTTCGACCGATATTTAAGTTAAGATAATTTAAAATATTTGTTAGAAACTTTGGTTTACAACACACTTATGACATTAAACTATGTAAAAGCTCTTCTAAATTGAGTATGGACTGGTGCATACTTTCATATTTATTTACTTTCTATAATGACATTTTTACCAAGTTTATTATGATTGATAAGTATTTATATTTATGAAAAGTAACGATTTACTTAACACTTACGTTATTGTTATGATACTCAACTTTCTCAAAAAGTGATATTATGAGTACATAAAAAGCTGGATATCACTTTTAATTCTATATTCTTGTATGAGAGAAAAATATTAGTTATTTTTTATGTTAAATTAATAAACAATTATTATGAATTAATTGAAGCTAGACCACCATGAAAAACCTACTGTGGGATATCTCAACAGTACGCTCAGTGGTCTAAAGGTTAATTGCTCGCGCGCGAGGCTGATAGGTCCTGGGTTTGAATCTCGCGAGGTGGGATCATGGATGCGCATTGCTGAGGAGTACCACAATAGGACGAAACGACCGTTCAGTGCTTTCAGGTTTTTCATGGTGGTCTAGCTTCAACTGACTCATGATCTCAACTATTAAACTTACTATAATATCAACAAAACCCCTTCTGATATTAAACAATTGTTTATTATTGAATGTAGAGATAATTTTTTCAAACCATTTTCGGAATAATTTTAATTATGTACATAAAAGTAATTAGACCTAGTGCATAGTTTTTTTTGTTTTCTGACCCATAAAACGTAATCAAATCAACGACCAGCAATTATTTGTACTTGATGACACAATATTGTTTAATACTTTTTGGACATCTTAAGTGTGAATTATTTCAGATAACTAATTTGTGTTGATCATATAAATGAATTTTCACTGTTGATAATGATTACTTACGAGTAGTATGTAAACTAAAGTTGATCTTAAAGTTAAGGGATATTCTAGTGAGATTTATAGTGAGTTCCTAAATGTAATGATACCAGATTGGCAAAATTAAGTGAAATATATAGGGTAAAGGGATTCGTAAGTTTAGTAATTATTGATAACTAAACAAAGTATACTTTACAAAGTATATAAAACTTAAGTTTCATTCAGAATCCAAAACAAAATATTCGCTTCATCCACTTTGTTCGATCTGATCATGGACATATTGCTAGAGGTAACTTTTTCCTCTTCTAACTTCTCCATACATGACTGCTTGTCCGGAGATATTATTATTAATCATGGAAACCATATGTACTATAATAGTATAAATAATGGCAAGAAACTAAATATTACGAGTCAAATATAAGGTTAGCTTAGAGTCATAAATTTGAACTCAGGTGATATTTTCATGATATTTATGAGACAGTAGAAAAGTATCTCATGAAATATGATTTGATTCAAATAAGATGTAACAATACTTAATTATGTAGAAGCACTTTAAGAATACATGTCGAAGTGATAAATGTTAATCACTAATTTTTAAATGACAAAGATGTTCACATCAGAAGTATCTCTCCAACGTAGCCTCGCGAACCGTTGTAATTTTTTGTCTTCTGATTCGTAATTATTTACGCCTGTTGCCCTTTGTGGAGGACCACAGGCCGTCCACCAGCACTCTCCATCCACCTCTGTCCTGGGCAACCCTTTCCATTCCCTTCCAGTTGATAATTATCCTTTTAAATATCTGCTTCCAATTCCCGTCTCAGTGTGTTCTTTGGTCTTCCTCTTATCCTTTTCCTTTCAGAATTCCGCCTCCACCGACTTTCACTAATTTCCTTTTCAGATTGAAACTGGTTTGTTCTCTCCTGGAGTAATCTTTTGCTGATGGTATCCGACCAGCGTACATTGAGAATCTTGTGTAGACAGTCGTTTATTAATACTTGTACTCTCTTGATGACGGTTGTGATAGTTCTCGAAGCTTCAGCCCTGTACAGTATAACTGTATGAACGTTTGTATTGAAGATTGTGACTTTGATATTGTTTAACAGTTGTTTTGAGTTCCATATGTACTTCAGCTGTAGGAATGATGTTTTGTCTTGCCAATCGTCGTCTTTATGTCTGCATTACATCCTCTTTGTTCATTAATAATGCTTCCCAGGTAAGTGAAAGATTCACTTGCTCATTCTGGAGTACCTGCTTGAACTCCGATAATGCCCCAATACGAGCACGCACCTGCTTGCGCCGCACTGGACGCAAAAAAGCCACACTAAAAAGACTCATTAGAACTGAATTGAGAAAACCAAAAGTGGGTTCCGGGAACAACTGAGGTCACACTTAGGTAGTTCTGAAAACGAGGCTGACCCAGATGTTGATTGGAAAGATGTCCAAGCAACTGTGGAAACAGCAGTGACATCTATTTGTGATTTAAACCACAGGGTTACAAAGAACCAATGAATTTCTTCAAGGTCTATTGCCTGAACACCGATTACCACGACGCGCAATGCTAACCGGTGTTGGGAGTGGTTGGAAGCAAGCTAGGGGCGGCCAAACCATATCTTCCAGAGTTTCTTCATCAAGTATGATTTAGTTGGTGTTCTTCGTGTTGTATCTGAGAATCTTGCTTTTTCCTTTGTGTATGCTGAGGCTTACTGATGTAGAGGCTGCTGCTACTTTAGTTGTCTTGACCTGCACTTGTTGGTGTGCATGGAATAAAAGAGTTAGGTCATCTTGGAAGTCAAAATCATCTACTGGCACTTAATCTGTCCATTGTATTCCGTGCCTCTTCTCAAATGTCGAGGCCTTCGTAATCCAGTTAGCCACCAGAAGTGAGAGGAAGCAGCCATGTCTGACTCCGGTCCTTACTTGGAATGCATTTGTTAGCTGTCCTCTATACACCATTTGAATTGTAGTCCGTCGCATGAATTTCGTATGATGTTGACGATCTTATCGGGTACACCAAAGTATCAAAGAAGGTTCCATAAGGTCCTTCTATCCACACTGACAAACACTGTTATATTCCAAAGAGAATTGTGAATGATAACTTTTGAGAATTATTTATGGACCAATATGATACATATATTTTTATTGTATAATTACTAAATAGCTAAACTACAAATATTCATGTCATCATCAACAAACAGTTTCTTTAAAATTTAGCGGATGAATGAAAAGCTCAGTTTCTTTTTGAAAATAATGTCCTCAACTCATCAAACGTGTTAATAAAATGAAATACATTTTTAGTTTTTGAATAAATCTTCATCTTTAGTCTCTTGTCTTTTGTAATTTCATCAAATTGGAGCCAGCAAAGGAGGGTTGTTATATGATCTTAACAATTCCACTATCATTCATGTACTTTGAAACACTCTCAAGATTTTGTTAAAAGAAAAGTCATTATTTTCCTTGATATAACGGGCCAAATTTATATACAGGCTACTTGAAGAAAATAATTTAACTAGCATAGTAAAAACCAAGTTACTTATGTAAATCAATATAAATTTATCAAAGGTTTCTGATGATTTGTAAAAGTGAAAGTGGTAGGAAGAATGTAACTGAACCTAAATGATTAACAGTCATCTGCAAATGTGCTATTCACCCATAGTTTGGGATGAGAGATGAGTAAAGTTGAAAATGAGGGTCGTTTACCTTTTGATATAGGGTAAATTCTAGTTCCAAACAAAACAGCCGAAAATAGTTTTAATACAGTACTTTCAGTTTAAACCTCAAGAAAATAGCATGTCGGTCTTATTGTTAGCCCTTGTTTATCTTTTAAATGCGAACGATTTCAAGACTAGAATGACCACATTAAGCTAACTATAGCAAAAAGTATCAAAGACAAGCGGAATTATAATGTGGTTATGTGACTCAGTCCTAAGCGACTCAAAAATATGCAGCAAAATACACAATATTGTGTCCCAGTTTTCAAAAACAGATTCTTTGTCAGTATTATCAGTTAGCACGACACGATTTATTTGACATGTACATGTTATCTACAGCGATAGGTCATTTTTGGGCAGTGCCCATAAGGCATAACTGTGATAACAATTAAGTGGAACATTGGTTGTTTAAATGATCATACTTTCCCTTCACTGATACGAAGGTTCGTCAAACACTCAAATAACAGATTCACATACAAAAACCATATTATCAATGAATTCAACTGTGAATGTAATGAAATAAAAACTGAATACCAATTTTAAAGTATTTACCAATCCCTTAGAAGTTTGATATCACCGCACGTTAGTAAAAAATGAAATCAAATGCTTATGACCATTTAATAACCCTCTGCATAACGTTGCTAAGATTTAGTCAACAAATAATGATATTCAGAGCGAACAAACAAACATTTTTGTGTCATAAGTCGGTTGTATAAATGTTATAAAAAGTTAAAAAATAATCTTTATTAGCATCATATTGTTAAAAAAGAAAATAAGTATTTTTTGATTCACTTTTAACATTTGGTGTACGGCACTGTTTCAAAAGTGTTCGGTGTGTTTTTGGTTTACTCGTTTGTTCTTACTGTATTTGGTGCTTGAATTCACATTGTGCTTGTGCGATTTGGATAAAGACTAAAGCCTCATGTTCTTAGTGCATACGCGTACATTTGCTTAATCGGTATTATTGTTAAGACCTTGGTAATTATGCATTTCTACTTTGTGATAACTTTAGATCTCATCGTATCACTAGCGATTTCGTCACGGAATTCCGTGGACAGATTCGGTGGTTCTTTTTTCCTCATCGCTACATTCAGATAAATCTGTTGAACTGCCCTTAGTCACACGTGAGTTTTTTTGATGGGAAAGATCTCACTATTTTCAAGAAAACCTTTTAAAAAAAATCTGGAGGAACATGACTAAAGTGCGATAATTGAAATTATTTGAGCTTTTATAGTGACGAAGAATCTTCAGAGCAGTCTAGTTTAAGGCAGATAGAACTAGATCAGTACAATTAAACGCATTTTATTTGGAACTTGTAATAAGTGAAAAATAAAGTACAAATAGATCATCCTTTCGTATAAATTTCACGCCAAATATACAAGTTGCTGTATAATAGTTTATATAAACGGGTAGAATCTTCGAATTAGATCAATCTTTGCCAAGAATATGTCTCACTGTGAATTTATATATTTCTGATCCTAAATACACGACATAAACATAGTCCAGTATTGTAGATCTAATTGTTGAAGAAATAATAATTTAGTCATTCATCTACGAAGGACTTTTAAGATGGACGGATGCTTCTACTTTACTTCTAAATATACGAAATCAGCATATATGATATACATTACATCCTCTTCTGACTAGACCTATGATTCCTGAAAAATCCTTTCATGTATTTCGCACAGTCTGTGTATGGCCAACAATCAATGGTTTGTTCAACTAATAGTGAGTTATTTTGGATGACTCCTCAGAGTTATACTTGTGTGATGGAAAGCCTATGTCAGTTATTTTATTTAGTTTGTATGGATTCACCTTTTAAATTGTTAGCGATTAGTTCAGTATTTGTGTGATTGCCGCAGATGATCGATTTAGTGGCTTGTTAGTCTATCAGATGATAACCTGTTCCTGATGACTAGTTATCATATGAAATTTTTTACCTGGCAAATACATATTACACCAAAGGAACAGCAAACACTTCCTCTTAAATTAAGAAAAACTTCTGTTTACTCTTTATGAGCTATTTGAAAGTGCCTAACACAGCCTATTACTACTGTTAAACTCTATCTGGTCCCACTATGGATGGGTCATTAGGTGGAACAAGTTTTTTTAGTAAGTGATAATATCCTCAAAAAGACTTACTATTTAGAAGCTTCGACGTGTTTCTTTATGTATCATTATGACATGGTTTTCATTCAAATATTTTACTAGTAACCTATTTGAACAGTACAAATAGCAGTTGTGTTAAGTCAAGAATAAATCTAGAAGTGAAGTGTATTATTACTCGATTATGGTAATCACAACTTCGTGGTTATAATGCTTGAATCGCTTGGGCTAAACGGATAACATCAGCCTTAAAGCTTTTCAAACCTAGATGGCAATGTCACTCATTTATCAACTACAGATTCGTGTACTCGGCATTGAGCCATACTTTACTTTTAAGGGATAGTGGTACTACCTGGCTATTTAAACAGTAGCTTACGTCGTGCTTCTCAAATTGTTTGAAATCTGAGAGGAAGTGACTCTTGATGGGCAGGGCACTTTTTGTTATAGCCGAAAATGTGTTGATATTATCTTCATCCCCCACAGCAAATTTTAGAACACCTCCACACTTGTTGCAGGCCAACAAACGTTGTTTCTCGATATAAAGACTTCCTTCGGTACTCTGAACAAGACTGTGCTCTCACATTGTCTGTTGAAGAAGGGTGTGGCCGAGCAGTTTACTAATATCTTGAAGGTCCTGTACACAAACACGCCAGGCAGAGTGGTAGAATACGAACACCTCTCCTTATCGTTGCATTCAAGTAGTGGGATTAGACAAGATTGCTCAATCTCACAATTCCTCTTCCACTTTACCGTCGATGACGTTCTAGAGACAGCTCTGATAGAAGTGATGGCGTGTATCTGTTACTTGGAGGAGGAACCTTTGATGTTGAGTATGAGGATGATGTTGTTCTACTGTTCGATGCGGCTGAAGCCATGCAATCCTCACTTAATCGGTTGGCAATGAGTGTCCATAGGTATGGAATGTGCCTAGCAGCTTCTCAGTTCAAAGCACCTTTGCAAGACTGACAGGAGTATGTCTGCACTCACTGTTGGTAGTGAGCGGTTAGAGGTAGTAGATAAGTTCATGTATCTGGCTAGTTGTATAAGTGTTGGTGGTGGAGTGAGTGATTAGATCAATTTATGTATAGTGAAAACCAGAAGGGTCATGTTAATCGGAATAATCTTTTGTCCTTCGTGATGTTAGTCTAACTGTTAACGTCGGATTTGTGATGCGTCAGTGAAAGAAGTTCGGCCCTGTGCTCGTAAAGCTTCAAACATCATTGGATCGTCCATGACTCAAATGTACAACCTAGTGATTGAAATTCAATTGCCTTAATCATTTTCATGATAAATAATGTACACACTGTGCTAACCCGAGATTTTTTGAAAATTATTCATATAAACTGTAATATTGTTCACTCACAAATAAACTGTTGACTACCCTTAATAACAAGGTTAAAAACAAACTTACCTATAAAGTAATACTGCTGTCTAATCGCTAGAGGTATGAAATAATTGGACCAAATAATGAAAAATAACGTTGTGTTCACGAGTTGGTTTGGATTCTGTTTAATTGGTATTTTGATTTTTTTCACCAAATGTCCCAGTTTTGGTTCCATAAGTGTAATTTTTAGAATTATTTGCTTAACTATTTCAGTATAACTACGGTAATAGAATTATTTGGAAGGTAATACCCATTTTACACTTATCATTTGACCAGCAAGTTGATCCGAGATTATGCCTTATAGTGATTCCCGCTTTCTACCTGGTGATTACTTTTTAACCTACTGTTTTATATTTTTCTTCATTATTCTCATGTAGTACCAAAATTCTCATTGTTTCATTTATTCCGTTGGTTATAATCCTATTTTTCTGAGAATGTTCAAAATTTCAACAGTATAAAATTCAAAGTTCACTTGTTCTGACCGATATTTTGTTTAGTGTTTGGTGTCAGGTCTCTAAGAGATTTACGAATCGACATTTCACATCGTTTAACCATCAAGTTGTACACATCAGTTATGCATATTTAATTACTTTTTATTTGGAGGTTATTCCTCGTTTGATCTCAGCCGTTATATAAAATTTATAAACAATTATTTAATATTCATTTATCGTAGTTATTTGTCTATTTAGATAGTGTCATTAACAATAATACTTTCACATCACCTTCCTTTAGATGCCTGCATTGAATGGATAGTTTTTAATTCATATCAACTTATAAATTTACTGGATGGTTTCATCTCTTTCAGTTAAATGATAATTATTCACTGTAGTAAAAGAACTCAACCATCCTATTAAAATATTTATCAAAACCTGAAGTATGCAGCGAATATTGTTTATCGTACACCTTCCATTTACAAAATAATTACTAATGTCATTGTTTAAAACTTGTGACATTTGGTCATCACAGCTGCACACAACAAATTTTGAGGACGGATTTTGCTTGAAGTTAAGTCCTCTTCACAATTTGCATAAATCTCAATATTTCATCTTATTTGGAACTTCCTCTGGTATTTTGTCCATTTTTCTACCTCGAGCTGCTGAAATTTCAGTTAATGAAAAATCAGACGATCAATTACATAATTATAATGATTTGTGCATTGAATACAATACCGAGCATTCTATTTTATGTATAGATTGTGGTAATCTTGTCACGGAAATGTGTCAGTATCAACAGATAGCGATTCTGCATTCACGAATGATAGCTGTTTATGATTTCGCGAAGTCTGATGATTCGTTTCAAGGCTATAGTGATACTTTTACACTAGAATCCTGGAAGTTAACACTTTCATTCAAACTTAACGTTCAAAAGGACTCATACACATTGCTTCTTGGCAAATTCTTTGAACAAATTCAAACAGACGTCATTTGTGTTCAAACGGTTGACTCATCTCTTTACTTTTTCAATGCAAATGGAGAATTATTTCAAATAACGTTACCAAATATTCTAATACCTGGTCCTATAATATTTGTAAAATCCATCCATTCATTAATAACAGCTGCTTCAATAAAATTATATTGTTTTAGTTTTCTGTCTTCGAATATCAAACACTCGCAAACATTGTATGCTAATCACAAAAATATTTCATTAGACTGGTCGATTGTTTTAGGGGAACCTATATTGTGCATGGATGAAATTGACTCAGAATTTACAACTAGTAAACACTATCCCTTATCGTATGTAGTTGCATTAGGTAGAAAACGAATTTTCCTTATCTCAGAAACTGGCTCCTTATTGTTTACTCGGCGTATTGAGATTCCATCCAGACAACTATGTGTATATGGTTATTCAGAAGTAAATGTTAATTCACTGGAAAACTTATTGTTCACTAATGCACAAAGTCAAGTTTCTTGGGTGCCAAGGTTTCTGGTAACAACAGAGAAAAATCAGCTACTTGTATTTAAAGTAAGTAAGTTATTTTTTCACAATAATGTCAAATCATCAAAATTTCGTATATATGAAATATTATTATTGGCTAAACTTTAATCTAATTTAGTCATTGAGATGTACGTAAAACCTTCTTACAATCACCATAATAAACGAAATGATATGAAATAAATTATTCATTCATTTTTGACTAAAGTTCATTTTTAACGTTATTAGCAGCATAATATAAACTAAAAGCATATAATTCTATTACCTGATAATGATGGTCTGCACATGAGGATGTTCGCATAATATCATGGACTGATTGAAATTAGACTTGTACGCCATTGGATCCTAGCTCGGTTCATGAGTTCATTGGCTATTGGTTTGTGTAGCGCAGTGAAGACGATTCTGTTGGTATCTCCAAGAGAATCACAACCTGTGATTGGAGACTCAATGACACGTCTTAATATTGACTGCAGTGTTCTCGTTGCAAGCTTTAGATAGGGATTTTGTTATGTTCCTGTAAATGATGTGCTTAGTTCTAGCGAATTCTTTTCATCCTCTGACTACTTAATGGTGTCTTCGAAACTGCTAATATTTTTACTGTTTACTCGTATAATAAATCAAGTGTTCTTCCCCATGTACAGTGCGACAATTGAAAATGATACATTACGTTTTTCAGATCCTGCATTTTTACATCCATCTGTTTCAGATATATTGGCGACTTGTCAGCTTTATCTTTGTAACTATCACTTTTCTGTAAATCATTTACCAAGTCCAGGTTTTAACTATCTATCTTTTATCCAAGCTGTTTCTACGATGACTAATGATAAAGCCCAGATGTTTATACTGAATGAAATATACCTACCAATTGAATGTCTGGTGCTCTAACCATAACCGTCTCTCCACTTCTACTATTATTTTTTATCCTACCTTTTTTGTTCGGCATGACTTACGCGAATTACTTTAAAACCACACATTTCTGTTGATGTTGGATATTTATGAAATAAAATTTTTTGGACTGAATGCATAACGATGAATTACGATTTAATTACTCTTCTGTCTAAATCTAAATAAATGAGTAAACTTGTAATCTTGGAAAACAATCACTTATTCCCTATTGACTAGTTTTCGTGCACTTTTCTAGACCTTTGTGTTTAGCTTTCAGGTAACTTTTAAATCCTTTGATATTGCAATTAGGATCAATCGATTTTTGGGTGTAGTTACCAGTATTGCATGCATAAACACTTATCATGTGTAGTTCAGTTGTGTTTTTTGATAAAGTCCTCATTATATTATTATTAACTTTTCAGTAGTCATTGTTACTATTCATTTCACTGTGCAAGAACTTTGAACCTAATTGACCTCGATTTCATTTAATAATGAAATTTTCACTATTTACTTTATCAAGTTATCCAATATTGTATCATCAGAGAAAGTTGATTGAGTATGTGAATAAATGTCTCTTAATTCATCCATAACTTTTTCGATCCGAACGCTAACAGATGGAAAATTTTCGCTAGTGTCTAGCATTAATGTTCAGGAGGCGCGTTTAATTCTAGATGGAACTTTGCAGGTGAATGTAACTGCACTCGTGCTGATGTTCACTTGCGGAATCATACTCATTGCTTTTGGCTTGAAACGCCCAACGCGCTAACTACTTGGCTACTGAGTCCGGATGTCCACTAGGTTCTGCGGGGGGAATGAACTTTACTTTAGTTGTAGGGGTTGTTTGAATCTTCTCATTGTTGATCGTAAGGACCACAGATGATCAGTCTCTGTTTGCATATGTGTTTCCTGACCAGGCTGCCTCGATATAGCCATTATTCATAGGCATTTCAACTAAATTTTGCTGGTTTATGTTCTGTTTTTCCCCTTTTCTTCTATAAATAGAACGTTATTTATTTGACATAAAGAGATCCAATCCGTCATTTTTTAGGAATACTCAAGTTTGCTAATGTTTATCACGGGCTTTTATTATAAACATAATAACAAAAAGACTACTGTTTAACACATTTCATCCATCCTGTCATCAAAATAATATTTGACAGTGAAAAGTAAAGTTATTGAAAGAAAAACACTTATTTGGCTATTAGTGTTTTCAATGCTTAACATAAGTTTAGTGTAACTAAGGTAACTAAGGTCATATTATCCAACATCTCCAACCGTGAGTCTCCATGATCTCATGAACTCCAACTAAATAGTCCGCATCTACAAACACACTGAAACCGACAGTTGGTGACTTCACGGGCTAATATCACGTCTCAGCTTGATCACTTAATTTTCTTATAACCTAGTTACAGCGAACATTGCGCGTTGAGGTAGGCTGTGGTCGGGAATACATTAAAGCTGACCTAACTAACTCAGTTGATAAAGATTTACCATCTCACTAAACCATTTGCCATCTTTATCTAATAACCTATGTATCATTTACTAGACATCAATGATATAGTATTCTTTACTTTTTAGGGTGCCCAACTCTTGTGGTCCGCATTGTTATCATTTGGTGCAATTCATATTTCTATGCCTATATTCACAATGGAGTTAAGTAAATGTTACGGTAAAACACTTCCATTTATTGGACTAAATTTTTCATCTGGTTTAATTGTTGTACTTCATAGAAATGGACGAATTACTTTGTCATATCTTGGCACTGATCCATCTAATTTAGTTGTCCCAAATATCATGAAATCAAGTCAAAATGATTACAATTATTCGAATGAAATAGATCCTAATCAATCACAATTGAACAATAAAAGTTTAGATGAAGAAACGCATCAAGTAAATGAACGTATTGATCAGCTAATAAAAGTTCATTCATCTTTATTATTCTCTAGTAATAATCGTAAAAAAACTCATCCTGAAAAAGATTCTCTCCCAAAATTGAAAACATCTATTCGTTTAAATTCAAATCGATTGAATATAGATGAGAATGAATTATGCTATATTGATATTGATATTGAATTTCCAAAAGCATATCCCATAAAACAATTTAATTCTGTTTATCTATTAATTCATTCTTGTTCACCAATTATAATAAAACCTAATTATATAGAAATCTTTTCTAATGAATTAAATAATCATAATTTTGTTTTAGTCAATCATAATAATACATATAAGTATTCATATACATTAACATGTTATAATGTGAATAAGTTTATTGATGGAGAAAATGGGACATCATTAATAATTGATCAACTTCCATTAGATATGAATGTTGTTTTAATGTTGTATTACACATTTACTCCCTTGAACAATGAGAACAATAACAATAATAGTAATGAAAAAATTAATTGCCCCACTGATAATTCAATGTCTTTTAATTCTCATTCAATTACAAAATGTGTTACTCATTGTATCAAGCTCCCATTAATCTTGTTTGCTTCTAGCACATTTGTACATAAGAATCAAATCACTGGGAAATTTTCTTTGGTTTTTCAACTGGTAACAAAGTTTCATAATCATTTAAAAAATGTATATTTATCAAACCTATTTCCAAATTTCTTACCTAAAAATGATGCTACTTGTTTTAATGAAAGTAGTCTAAATAATTCCATCATATGTGTATCATTTTGTGGTTTAAAACAAATGAATAATGATGATAAACAATGTGTATACATTTCAGTTAAATACAATAAAAAATTCAAATTGAAACTACAAAGTAATCATCCTGAAACATTTTGGCCAATTTTACAAGAGCTCATTTTTCATAATAATCTTATTGGGAAACGTAAAACGAATAGTGATGCAAATAATCTTTACATTGTCTTGTATACGAAGAATGCTAGAAAACTTATGAATGATGGTACTGTACCTCCGAAATCACTGTCGCCATTAAATTTTGATAATTATGCTTCTCAACTTGAAACATTGTTCAGTAAATTATATGAATCTTTAGATGATCATGTCAATAAACGCTTAGAACTAGATAACCAAATTAGTAAGCTTACTGTGCAATCTAGACATTATCGTGCTGTCCAACGAGAAGTTGTTGAAAGAATAAAAAATAGCCAGCCTAAATGTTTAAATGGATTTAATGAATTGTTAGAAAGAGATATGACTAATTTAATGACTACTTGTGATTTACTTGACCTGTTAACACAACAATACTTTCAATCCGGTTATTCTGTAATATCATTAATTATTCTATTGAGTTTTATTTGTTTATTTTGCATGCAATCGTCATCCTCCTCTTCTCCATCGTCATTTGACTTTTCTGAATTTGAAACTGAATTAATGCTATTCAAACCAGCACATTTGCTGACTATGCTACACTCAACAGTGTTATTAGAAAATATTCGAAGTACAGAATTCCCTGAATCAATTTTATCCACTGAATCTCATGGAAATAATCTTCATCATGTTGATTTTAAACAATATCTACAGGCCGAAATAAATTACTATTCAGAAATCATTCAATCCAATCACATTGATCCAAACAAACAATATGATTCATTCACTAATTATCAAGATCCTTTAAAAAATTATAATCGATTATTGACGCCTAAATATATTTATGAACAATTCTACCAACTTTGTAAACAATTTATGTCTTACGATCATAATGAAATTACACGTTTAATTAGTTTGCTTAATCAGTGAATAACTCTGTTTTTTCAATTTGTTTTTTTCAGTATTTTCATACATCAGCTTGTAAAGTTGTAAAATTAAAATCAGGTATTTAGTTTGATGAGACTAATAATAGTAGTATTGTTCAATATATATGTTGCCTTGTAGTCATGCGTTAAATCCTTTATACATAATGTCCAAAAGCTTTCATCAATTAATACGTTACTTTTGAACTTAAGATCCCCTGGGGTGTATCCCCGCGTGGGTTCGAACCCCACTCCCAGCAGACCGCTTTCGCAGCCACACCACTACTCTGCCATCATCAATCAGCATCCCTCATTGTGACAACACCGTACACACTGTAAAAGCCTCACATTCACTCACCACCTCTATCCACACGTGTCCACTGTGTCGGTGTGGAATTGGCGCGTGTGCGGTGCATTACACATGTCACTTGACCGTCCTCAACAATCCAATGGTTTGTGATTTCTGGAGTCGGTGCTCTGTCTGCAGTTTCTCAGAATGACCAGTAGACTGCTTATTGTGCACTCGCACCTCCAGTCTTGGTGGAGATGAGTCTGCTGAGTCGGTCACTTGTATTGCAAGTGTCCCGTGTGTGCATGTCACACAAGTCACTCGATTCTCCGGTTTACCAGCACTCGACATTACACTCACATCACCGACCGTCCAGTCGATTGAAAATCGACAGTTCCAATAGACATATCAATGTTCTCGAACTCCTCCATTGTGACTTTGTGTGAAATGTTGTTGTTTCAAGTTGAACAGTGAACTCACAGTCGTCATACAGTGTGAGACCATCTGATTCACGAAGACGTTCCCTCATCTCATAGATACACGCTCATACATGTTCATGGAACTAGACCTCCGAATCATCTCAACTCATCCACAAACCAATCATATCTAGTCACACGTGGGATGTTCCATTAGTTACTTAAGCATGCCTCTCTATTCCACTGGATGTCGACTAATCGCAACGTTGAGAATAATGACGGAGGAGTCAAGTCAAAACACACACACACCCGTCGGGATCATATCACGCTGAGAGGATATTGTTTCTTACAACAACACCGAATCACAGGCAAGACTGAACGTGTCAGCCGCATACAAGACAACAGGATAATGAACACTGGTTGAGTCAAAACAATGCCTATCATGGTTGTGACGGTTAGTGTGGTTGAGCGTATGTGAGTGAAATATTCGATGGTTGCATAATGTGTGTGTGTGTGTGTGTGTGTGTGTGTGTGGGAATGTCTTGAATATATGTGAACACAGTGAATGTCAGTAAAGAGTGACTAGTTGGTGAGCGATGTTTGTTGACGAATTGACTAGTCGGTGTGTTGTTGATGAATATGTTTGCGTGCGTATGTATGAGGATCGGAGTGAGCGATCATGTGTGTGTGTGTGTGTGGTAGGTGAGTAGTTCAGCGTGTATTCAGTGGTGTCAGTATTGGTGTTGTGTTGATGTGGTGTTATTGTGGGTTAATGATCTTGGTGAGGGTGCTCGTTGGAGTTGGTGTTTGTGCGAGCGACTGATAGTGAAGTGGTGAGTGTGCGAGTTGGTGCATGCTAAAATCAGCTGGGATGGCCGAGTGGTTAAGGCGGTGGACTTAAGATCCCCTGGGGTGTATCCCCGCGTGGGTTCGAACCCCACTCCCAGCAGGCCGCTTTTGTAGCCACACCACTACTCTGCCATCATCAATCAGCATCCCTCAATGTGACAACACCGTACACACTGTAAAAGCCTCACATTCACTCACCACCTCTGTCCACACGTGTCCACTGTGTCGGTGTGGAATTGGCGCGTGTGCGGTGCATTACACATGTCACTTGACCGTCCTCAACAATCCAATGGTTTGTGATTTCTGGAGTCGGTGCTCTGTCTGCAGTTTCTCAGAATGACCAGTAGACTGCTGATTGTGCACTCGCACCTCCAGTCTTGGTGGAGATGAGTCTGCTGAGTCGGTCACTTGGTCGGTCACTTGTATTGCAAGTGTCCCGTGTGTGCATGTCACACAAGTCACTCGATTCTCCGGTTTACCAGCACTCGACATTACACTCACATCACCGACCGTCCAGTCGATTGAAAATCGACAGTTCCAATAGACATATCAATGTTCTCGAACTCCTCCATTGTGACTTTGTGTGAAATGTTGTTGTTTCAAGTTGAACAGTGAACTCACAGTCGTCATACAGTGTGAGACCATCTGATTCACGAAGACGTTCCCTCATCTCATAGATACACGCTCATACATGTTCATGGAACTAGACCTCCGAATCATCTCAACTCATCCACAAACCAATCATATCTAGTCACACGTGGGATGTTCCATTAGTTACTTAAGCATGCCTCTCTATTCCACTGGATGTCGACTAATCGCAACGTTGAGAATAATGACGGAGGAGTCAAGTCAAAACACACACACACCCGTCGGGATCATATCACGCTGAGAGGATATTGTTTCTTACAACAACACCGAATCACAGGCAAGACTGAACGTGTCAGCCGCATACAAGACAACAGGATAATGAACACTGGTTGAGTCAAAACAATGCCTATCATGGTTGTGACGGTTAGTGTGGTTGAGCGTATGTGAGTGAAATATTCGATGGTTGCATAATGTGTGTGTGTGTGTGTGTGTGTGTGTGTGTGGGAATGTCTTGAATATATGTGAACACAGTGAATGTCAGTAAAGAGTGACTAGTTGGTGAGCGATGTTTGTTGACGAATTGACTAGTCGGTGTGTTGTTGATGAATATGTTTGCGTGCGTATGTATGAGGATCGGAGTGAGCGATCATGTGTGTGTGTGTGTGGTAGGTGAGTAGTTCAGCGTGTATTCAGTGGTGTCAGTATTGGTGTTGTGTTGATGTGGTGTTATTGTGGGTTAATGATCTTGGTGAGGGTGCTCGTTGGAGTTGGTGTTTGTGCGAGCGACTGATAGTGAAGTGGTGAGTGTGCGAGTTGGTGCATGCGAAAATCAGCTGGGATGGCCGAGTGGTTAAGGCGGTGGACTTAAGATCCCCTGGGGTGTATCCCCGCGTGGGTTCGAACCCCACTCCCAGCAGGCCGCTTTTGTAGCCACACCACTACTCTGCCATCATCAATCAGCATCCCTCATTGTGACAACACCGTACACACTGTAAAAGCCTCACATTCACTCACCACCTCTGTCCACACGTGTCCACTGTGTCGGTGTGGAATTGGCGCGTGTGCGGTGCATTACACATGTCGCTTGACCGTCCTCAACAATCCAATGGTTTGTGATTTCTGGAGTCGGTGCTCTGTCTGCAGTTTCTCAGAATGACCAGTAGACTGCTGATTGTGCACTCGCACCTCCAGTCTTGGTGGAGATGAGTCTGCTGAGTCGGTCACTTGGTCGGTCACTTGTATTGCAAGTGTCCCGTGTGTGCATGTCACACAAGTCACTCGATTCTCCGGTTTACCAGCACTCGACATTACACTCACATCACCGACCGTCCAGTCGATTGAAAATCGACAGTTCCAATAGACATATCAATGTTCTCGAACTCCTCCATTGTGACTTTGTGTGAAATGTTGTTGTTTCAAGTTGAACAGTGAACTCACAGTCGTCATACAGTGTGAGACCATCTGATTCACGAAGACGTTCCCTCATCTCATAGATACACGCTCATACATGTTCATGGAACTAGACCTCCGAATCATCTCAACTCATCCACAAACCAATCATATCTAGTCACACGTGGGATGTTCCATTAGTTACTTAAGCATGCCTCTCTATTCCACTGGATGTCGACTAATCGCAACGTTGAGAATAATGACGGAGGAGTCAAGTCAAAACACACACACACCCGTCGGGATCATATCACGCTGAGAGGATATTGTTTCTTACAACAACACCGAATCACAGGCAAGACTGAACGTGTCAGCCGCATACAAGACAACAGGATAATGAACACTGGTTGAGTCAAAACAATGCCTATCATGGTTGTGACGGTTAGTGTGGTTGAGCGTATGTGAGTGAAATATTCGATGGTTGCATAATGTGTGTGTGTGTGTGTGTGTGTGTGGGAATGTCTTGAATATATGTGAACACAGTGAATGTCAGTAAAGAGTGACTAGTTGGTGAGCGATGTTTGTTGACGAATTGACTAGTCGGTGTGTTGTTGATGAATATGTTTGCGTGCGTATGTATGAGGATCGGAGTGAGCGATCATGTGTGTGTGTGTGTGTGTGTGGTAGGTGAGTAGTTCAGCGTGTATTCAGTGGTGTCAGTATTGGTGTTGTGTTGATGTGGTGTTATTGTGGGTTAATGATCTTGGTGAGGGTGCTCGTTGGAGTTGGTGTTTGTGCGAGCGACTGATAGTGAAGTGGTGAGTGTGCGAGTTGGTGCATGCTAAAATCAGCTGGGATGGCCGAGTGGTTAAGGCGGTGGACTTAAGATCCCCTGGGGTGTATCCCCGCGTGGGTTCGAACCCCACTCCCAGCAGGCCGCTTTTGTAGCCACACCACTACTCTGCCATCATCAATCAGCATCCCTCAATGTGACAACACCGTACACACTGTAAAAGCCTCACATTCACTCACCACCTCTGTCCACACGTGTCCACTGTGTCGGTGTGGAATTGGCGCGTGTGCGGTGCATTACACATGTCACTTGACCGTCCTCAACAATCCAATGGTTTGTGATTTCTGGAGTCGGTGCTCTGTCTGCAGTTTCTCAGAATGACCAGTAGACTGCTGGTTGTGCACTCGCACCTCCAGTCTTGGTGGAGATGAGTCTGCTGAGTCGGTCACTTGTATTGCAAGTGTCCCGTGTGTGCATGTCACACAAGTCACTCGATTCTCCGGTTTACCAGCACTCGACATTACACTCACATCACCGACCGTCCAGTCGATTGAAAATCGACAGTTCCAATAGACATATCAATGTTCTCGAACTCCTCCATTGTGACTTTGTGTGAAATGTTGTTGTTTCAAGTTGAACAGTGAACTCACAGTCGTCATACAGTGTGAGACCATCTGATTCACGAAGACGTTCCCTCATCT